CAGCATTCAGGGATCTGCAGAATATACTGAAGATACTCTTTGTAAACTTTATCAGTCTGCTTCAGCTCTTAACTGTTGCTTCAATTGTCAAAACAGCTAAATGAACCTGTATCTTAAGCAACTGGGCTTGTACCTGTGGAAATGATACTCATTACTACATTATTGTGATTTTGAAGGGGTAAATGCCAGGACTTCTTGACTAAGGATAAATCTCTGATCATGTGCATCTTGATTGCAGATTTCACTCATAGCAACTAAGTTAAAATAAAGGACACAATTAAGAAAGACTGGTATCAGCGATGGCTTTACAGGCTGGGGTGCTGAGTTAGTACTGTGAGCATGATGATGATTCATCCATGAAGTATCCAAGTCCCCAGCATAGCACAGGGTATCTTTAGTCTTCAGAGGGTAGGCTTTCACCTGCCACCTATAGCTCTGAACTACTAGTAAGACTGAAAATGTTATGTTGGTGATGAAGGCAAGCCATGTAGCACTGCATTTCTTTTTTGTTACTGCAACTTGTTTTGTCTTGAGCAGAAGCCAAAGCATCACATAGATGGAATCCAGTGTTCAAAAGTACTGAAAATATAATGGTGACAGGTTTTCTCATCTCTGGCAATACACAGTTATTCTTTCACTTGCAGTAATGTCAGACAGTGTACCTAAGGACTGCACCACACCAAGGCTTGTTAAGTGGTATTTGAATTCTGTCTTAGACTATTCTACCAGCTAGTCTTTCTCATCAATCCAGTAAGTGTTGTCTTACTGCCTCTGATTACCTAACCCACTCCTTTGTTTATGTGGTGCCTACTTCTTTCTCTGTACTTAGGAAAACTTTCTCACAAGAGTCTAATATGAACATCTCCTCGATGCTTCTTGCACAGCACCAAAAGCATTCTCAAAGATTGTGGAGGAACCTTAACACACATTTTAATTTCAAAGAAAATACATTGGTCTTTATCATAACCTAGATAAGAGACCCAGTGCTAATTTCTGCCCCTTATCTAAGCTCAAACCTAATGTGTCTCAGTTGACTGTTTTCTTTCAGCACTTGCAGTCTGCCTGGCTCTTATGAAATTAAACAGTGGCTCTGAATCATTACCAGTAATGATTCTTGAGAGTCCCTGTGGTAATAAAATTCTTCATAAATTCCTAGTAGTTGAAATCACACATCCAAATCATACGTGCCTGTATCTGGATGACTGCCTGATCAAGGGAAGGTCTTGCTAGAAGATACTAAGGCCTATTTAGATAATATTCCTTTCATACTGCCTCAGCTGGGTCATCTTGAGATATAGATGAGCTGTCTTGCTGGACAGAATTACTCTTAGCTGTAATTAATTTTTCATTGTCAAATGCTTATTTTCTGGAGGACAAGTTTCAAGTCTTTCAGGAATATATGAAAATATTGCGAGCGCTTCTGGAATATTACTCCTGTAAGCACGCATATATATCATTCCCTTCACCTAAAGTGGCTAAGAATTTTAATGCTAGTTGAAGCCACCATGCTTTGCCTCACACTTACAATATGAAAAGATGGTATTGGTGATTTGCTGTATTAAGTTATTTTGCTGTACCACTTGGATACTCAAAGCTGTCGGAAAGGGCTTTTAACACCCAATTTGCTTCACCTGTTCCTTTTGCAAACTTCCAGTTGCCTCCTATCCATGATACTTAAGATCAGCTTTTAGCCTGTGCTACAGAGGAAGGAGGTAGTTTTGAGTTGTTAGGACCAGCAGCACATAGTGTATGTTCGTCTACAGCTTGGCTGGCTCTTTGCATGCACACAGGAAGAGTTTTCTTCCATGAGCACTACTGGAATAGGGAAATGGTGATCCGCCATGAAAAAGCTAATGTGCATTCTGCACTTTTCTGCTGATTCTGCTCTTGCTCTTCACCAGTTGTCTGAAAACTGGGTCCAGTATCCTGGCTGCCAAACAATTTATCTTTTTAAGGCTGGGAATGTGGAAGATTCTAAATTCAATTTTCCACATTTTTTTTAGCCTTTTAATCTCATGCAGGTCTTTTAAGTCAACAGACCGGAATGAGAAGATTTACATTGTTGGTGGAATAGTTGCATTTTGGCTATGGGATGCTCTATATTTGTGTCTGATTTTTTTTGTTAGGCTCATTTATTAGAAGCAACTGTTTATCATCTGGCCACTTACTAGCTCTACAAATCTATTAAAAAATAGAATGGTATGTTGACTCAGTAGGTGTAGGAAGTATGTTCCTTATTTGTGTTTTGTGTTGTGGTGGGCTAATAACAATTGCCAAAGAAGTAGCACTCACAGAGAAGAGTTGGAACTGGAAGTATTAAACACGAGCCATTAACTGGTTGTAGATAAAGCTCACAATCAAATGAGACTGTGTTGATTAGCATGAGAAAAAATGCAGTGTCATAGCAACCTGGCTTGTGTTCTCAATAAATTAGATTTTTCAGGAGGAAACTGAAAGGAATTAATATTTCATCTCTTTACAAAATTTTTGATTGAAATCCAAGAAAATGCAAGAGGAGCAGTCAAGTTTTTCAGCTTGAAAATCTGACAGATGGGCTAAGCAGGCTCCTCAGTTATCAGTGAGCTTGTTGATACTGACCAAGGTAAAGTGAACTGAAACTTAAGCTCTAGAGACATGATACTTAAAATTAATTTTTACAATTTTGAGTTGCAGGATTATTTTCCCAAGCAGTTACTATAAGGAAATAGAAGAGGAACCAAGGATGTAACTAAGGATTTGAGGACTTGCATTAAATGTGGCTTTTACATTGTCCTTCTCTGTGGTCTTTTGTCATGGTAATTCATCTCACTCAGCCTACAGCTGACAAAAGAACAAGTTCAGGGATACAAAAGATCTGTGTAAGTACTAATTACTTTGTTAGAACTTAATACAAACCAGGGTAATTAGATTTAAATAACCTTTTGCCAGGAACATATGTGCAACCTAACTGTGATATCTGGCTCTCTGTCCTGCTGTTGAGCTCATTCAGGCAGAACCTGATCTACCTTGTGAACAACAAACTTGCTTGTTGCTTCTTGTAGTTGTGGAGGAAAGATAAAAAAACAATCCTAAATATGTTATTTTTTGTTTCAAAGTTTTACTTTACCTTTACAAATGTACTGTATGTCTCTATATTGCAACATTTGAATTTAAAACTAGTTTATATTATTCTGCCAGCTCTTTAGGCAGAGTGGGCATGTGCTAGAAGAATAAACATAGAATTGTCTATTCTAGGAAGTTTCACTTGTAATCAATGAGCAGCTTGTTAGCAATTTCTCTTAGCAATTCTTCAGCTGCTAGAAAGAAGGAAAAAAGCGTGCTAGAAGAGGAAGCACAAAGGAAGCCTTCTTCTGTACCTTCCTTTCTTGTGGTGGTTCTGTTTCACACCAAAGTGTGGCTCTACATACACTTTTGCCCAAATAAGAGAATAGTAACTCTAGGTCTCAAACTCCTTCCTCTGTGATTAGAAATTCAGGGTGTTCAGTAATGTTAAAAAGTAGTTTTGTGAAAGAGGCAAGAAGTTAATTCACAGCTTTAGTTGACCCACAAAAATATTTAATGAGGTAGTATTTGTTAATTATGAAGCCTTGTAGAAAGGGTAGCTGATTTTTAAAATATATGCAGAGAGCAGACTGTCTTATTAAAGCAATGCAATATTTTAACATGTAGATGTGTATTACTTATTATGCAGATGGGTTTAAATAACACTTTTGGCTTTTATTTAATAGGCAATGTAGTTTTGATTATTGGAAGGCAGTCCGAGAATTAATATAAGATACTTTTTTCCCAAGAAAAGGTTGTGTTAGCTTGAGACTAGTATCTCACACATTGAATGACTGACTTTAGTGAATGACACTGAATAACTGCAATTCACACACACCTACACAGAACGGGGAAAAAAACCCCTCCTATTTTCTAAGAACCTGTGTCTGTAATGACATTAAAACCAAAGTAACTTCATAGTGATGATGTATTAGTGGCTCAATGCCTTTTGCTGTGAAGTCGTTGGATTAATGATAATACAAATATTTTTTCTTTGCAGCCCTTTACGAAGTGGCTGAAAATCATTTCTCAGGCTTACGACTACATTAGTTTATGGAAGTTTAATGGCCTATTCTGTTGCTTGATGTTAGATTGCTGGTGAAACTTGTGTGGTCACTTTACATTAAGATAAAGAGGATAATGAGATGCTGCTGAAGCAGAGTGGATACTTTTGGCCTCTGGTGTACACTCATTTCACACTGGTGTGACAGTACAGCTTTCTGTGTAAAGAAGAGTATGTGCCTTACACCAAAGCACTCTTGAGTTCTGCCTCAAGGTGGGTTGTTTTTTTTTTTTAGTATAAACATGGTAGAAACTTTGGCAGCTCAACTGAAAAGTAGTTTCAAAATGATGGGAGAGGGAATCTGTAACGTGGTGTATATGATGTCTTGACTTGAGCAGGTCATCAGTGATAAACAATCTTTTTTTTTATTTGTGCCTTTTAAAAAACCTATGTACACAGAGCTTCCACTCCTGACACGTTTACATGAGGGGTATTTCTTGTCCATGTGTGTATCTGGATTAAAATAAATAAATAAAACCCTCTAAGCAGTTCAAGAAGAAGATGCTATTACTGGCTTGCTGAGAGAGGATTAATTAGGAAATGTCTTCCCTTATCTGGATTTCTAGAAGTTACAGTGGTTCACTTCCTCTTAGCAGAGAATTATTATAGAGAATAACATTAGGTGCTGTATTAAATATTTGTGTTGTTATCTGTTTGTTCTCTGGGGCTTGGTATCTTGGTTAAATTTGAAGCTATTTGCTGAACAGCTGTTCACTTGTCAGGTGAAGGGATCAGCTTGAAATAAATTGTAATAGCGATGGTATGTTTGAATGATTAAAAATCAGGGAGAGATGGAGAGATGTGAAATTTGGGAGATCTCCAGGAGGATCTTTTTTGTATAAATACTAGCTTTACTCTGCATACCTTTTATTCCCCCCCTCTCCCTTTTCTCCAGTACTGATACTCGAAAAGGTGGAAAATGGAGATCTGAGCAACAAGATATTGAAGATCACGGATTTCGGCTTGGCCAGGGAATGGCATAAAACTACCAAAATGAGCGCAGCTGGGACATATGCCTGGATGGCTCCTGAGGTCATCCGCTCCTCCATGTTCTCCAAAGGCAGCGATGTGTGGAGGTATTGATTTGGCATTAAGTGATTGGATACTAAAGAGTAACTAGACCTGCCAGGAAAATGCTTTTATGTTTAAGAATGAGTAATGGTGAGCCAAATATTAAAATTCAGGTCTTAAGAAAACTTTATCCATCAGCTTTATGTCTATAAGACTCTCAGATTACTTTCTATTAATTGTAAACTTGTTTTTTTACTGTAGAAAGCAGTGGACTAGCTCCTGCATGCATCTGAATTTTTGTTCTATAAATTTACGTTCAGATTATCCTAGGATTTATAATCCCAATTCCCTCAGCATTATTTAAAACAAACTTTTCCTTATTTGGCTATTGGCTGACATAATCAAAGGCCATAAAACAATCTGTGAAGTACTTAAAATTACTACTTTTTAATTGTTTTGCCAACTGTAAGATAATATTACGTTTTGGTAGTTGTCAGCGATGTATATGTACACAAACACACTGTATCTAATCTAATTCCCCCTGCAGTTTCAGGCTGAATGTTTTTCACTTTCATAATAATCTTACGAATTATTTCCACCCCATGAGTCTTTCATATAAAATAATCCCTTCTCTAGGTCTGAGTATGTAATACAGAAGTAGTGATTTGCATGTGTTCATTGTCTTTTCCATTCATGCACTGGGTTTTTGTGAGAATGAGAGCTACTTTGATGGGGAAAGTGTAAGGATTGGCTCATGGACTTCCAGAAATTGAGTTTCAGCATGATCATTAAGTGACTTCGTAAATCCAGAATTCAGTAAATAGCTCTAGGACAGTGGCTTTTCTCGACGTTATGTGACGTAGAATCAGTACTAAACATCTGAAACAGATGACATAGCAGGAATTTTGTTCTTCCTGTGCAGAGAGAGTTGTTGAAATGTCAGGATAAAGAAGTATCCCAGCTGGCAGAATTGTCTGGCTGTTATGGCAGAGACTTGATGTGGGATTTTAAATTTTCCTAAACCAGTTTTACTGAATAGATAATGTATTGCCATTTGGTAAGTCTGTGAACTGGTATTTTGCACACTAATGGTGAGGATAAAATTCTGACTGTAATTGAATGTAGTTGCCTTTGTATTTAATCTGAGATGAAGTGAGCATGAACCAGCCTTTTATTCTGAGTGAAGTCTGGCAGAAATGAAAACCTCAAGGCTGTGTACCTTTTCTGTTCACATGTTGACAGTACCCATTTGTATACAGCTTGTTAAGCTCAAATCTCGATTTGCTGTTCTCTGAAGCAGTGCCAGGAATGACTTTTAAGGGTAACCTGGGGAAGAGGGAGAAATAAAGAGGGGAAACAATTTCCCTGTGATTGGAACTTGACTAATCTAGGCATGCTGAGAACAAATTAGTTGATATTCTGTACCAGTATGACCTAATTAAAAAAAAATAATTAAAGTTAAGAGTTAATATAGGTAACTTGTTAATTTTCCTGAAGGTAGCTCAGGTGCCTCTGTACCTGTGCAAAAATCAATTTGGTCATTGGCTAAAGGACTAGAAATCACTTTAGGACTTGAGGATTGAAAATCGGTTAAATTATTTGTCAGTGTTTCAGAGTACTGTATTTCTATTTTTTAAGGTTTCTTCATGACTTTCTCTTGTTATAGTGACCAGTCTTTCCGTGAAAACAAGTTGAGTTCCTCTCAGTGCTCTTCCTGAAACAGAGGACCACCATGACTAAGAGAGCTGTTATATTATTTCTGAATAAGCCTTCTGTCTCTGGTGACCAGAACCTGCACTCATAGTTATATAAGCTGAAAAGAATATGGTGTTTGAGGCATGTGTACAGAGGATAAAGACTTGCCAGTGTGGTTACTACTAGTGTGTCAATGATTGTAAGCACTGGATTTTATTTACAAAAGCAGTTATGGACGTGTGTGATAAAACTGGTCCCTGCGCAAGGATGCAACTTGAAATTCCTGACAGGATGACCTTTTTAGACTTGCCCCTCCTCTTGCCCGCTTCAGCCTCTTGGTTAATCAATGGAGTTGAGGGAGTATTTTGCCTGATAACCTTCAAGTTATTCTGTGCAGCATCAGCAAAATTGGCTGTCTTTGTCCCTAACACTCACAAATCTTTTATTTCAACACCTTTTTCTGTAAAGCTTATTCTAATAATACTTCTAGCTGAATTGTTGCCCAACCTTTTAACAAGAATCTTGTTTTGCTCGTATCCTTACTGCACAAACAGATGATGATGATGTTTGCCAGGACTGAAAGTTCCTGAATCAGTCTTAATTTCATAATAAATAACTACTTCATGCAATTGCTTTACTTTTGGGTTTTTGTTTTGTTTGTTTTTTGTTTGGTTTGGTTTTTGTCCCACTCTGAAGGAGGGTTGACGAAGAACTTAAAAGGCTGAGGAATGCTCCCTCACGCTGGTGTCTATCACCAGGGTCTGGGTGACTGTAAAGCTAACTGATAATAACAATACTTAGTACATCTTGCTAGTGAAAATTTAGTGCTATGAATTTTGCTGTGCTTCACCCACAAATTTTAAATATTCAGGAGAAAGCTTGTACTTAAATTGCACAAAGGACAAAAAAGCTACAGTTTTATTTAAATGTCAGCTCCTGTAAATCTATTTGTTTTGAGAGGAGAGATAGATATTTACTTTGGATTTACAAGGGTGAAATTGAAGCATGGTGCTTATCCAGTACTGTACAGCAAACTGATTTTAGTAAGCATATAATTTATATTTCCCTGTCATTTTAATTCCTTAAATGTATTTCTTGTTTGCTGTACACTTCATTTGTGATTTGTATTGCTTAAAATACAATTGTGTTGTCAATATAATTGGTGTGTGGAGGATAAAGCCACCATATAACCTTCATCTGAGTTCCTTGTGCTACTTAATTTACAAGCTTTTAAGACGTATCTACTCTAAGACCAGTGAAATAATTAGGATTTTAATTTTCGTTTAGTAGCAGAATACCAGAATTACCTTAAACCATCTGATTAAGTAGATCAAGATGTTTCTGTCATTCAGTGGTGGGAACTTTAGTCATTAGAATATTTTGTGTAAATCAAGTGTTGGCAGCACTTCCATCCACAGCTGACTGCTTGCAGGCTTCTGTAGTCGTGAAGCACTGGCAAGGCTTCAGTACCTGGCAGATAAATAGTGACTAGGAATACTAGTAGAAGCTCATGTGGGAGAACTGTACACAACTGACTGTTGTGAAATAAGCAGGAAATGTCATCTCTGAAGCTGCCAGCCCAATAACATGCAAAATGTTAATAGCTATTAAAATGTAATGAAGTTGTGGGGTTTTTTTTCTTAACAACAGTAATATTCTAGATTCTGTTGTTGCTGAAATCTTCTCGGGCTGATAGTGCCTTTCTCATGGAAAGTGCTGAACTTTAGCAGAGATGAGCAACTTACGACATGAAGAGGAACCTATAGGACAAATGCCATTGAACAATAACAGTGAGAAGAATTTACTATTTTTTTAAGTTCACAGACTTACAAGGGAGGCAGAGTCGTGTGAAATCCTGCAGACCACCAGCCTCCCTCTCTCTGAAAATCTGGACTGGACTTGATGTTAAATTAATTGATTATTGCATCTCTGGAAGATGGTTAAATATTCATACAAGTGTCAGTGGGCTTGTGGGCATGCTCTATATCACATGGTTTATTTTGTAATTAAAGTAACAAAATTACTGCTGGGAGCTGAAAAAAAAAAAGTTTGACCAGTTTTTCTTCCTCCCTATTGAAAATGAGGAGAGGCTCTTGATTCTTTTTTCCTATGCTTTTTAAAATATAAATCCCTTCTGTTGCTGACTTTTTCCCCTTTGTAATTCCCAATCCCCTGCTTGAGAGTTAATGGATAACTGTTCAGCACTACGCTTGCTGTTGAATCACTTGGGATGATTGTTGTTCAAATGCCACAAAGCAGGGTTTCCCTCCTTCTGTGAAACTGTTCTCAGCAATGAACTGTAAGTAGGTGAGAAGAAGGTGACTTTGTTTTGCCAAAAACACTTTGGCCTTTCCTGCAATATGTACTTCTAGTGCCATGTTAGAAGAAGCACCAGTCTGTTTCCTTGCCTTTTAAAAACTACCCTGTGGAAAAATGCTTTGAGCACAGCAGTAGTGCTTTTCTGAGCATTGGAGAAATATCCAATACATATGTCATCTTGTAGTAGTGGTTTCTGGTAGTTTTTCCTACTTTTAATATCAATGCTGGCATCCAAACTGAAGACCAATATGAACAATCAGATTTAGACAGACCAAATACATATTCAGTGCAGTGTTCATTTTCTTCAAGTGTCTTATGAATCCTATGATGCCAGAAAGAAAATGGGAAATCCTTAAATTCCTGTTTATTTTTTTCAAAAGAAGCTCTTGATGCAGTAGGAAATGGACAACCTTGATGGAAGGAAATAAGAAATTATAATTTTAATAATTATAATGTCAAGAGTATGAATTATGATGGAAAAATGCAGAAGATTCTATAAGTGGAAAAAAACTGCTTAATAAAATAAATTAGCTGTGTTAGCAGAAGAGGTAGAATCTCTAGACTGAAATTCCATATCTGAGTAGGAAGTTAGTATTAAGACTGCTTAACCAAGGTGGCAGCAGTTACAAAAAATGTTAAAGGCTTAGCAGGGTGGAGGGTAGGTTGCAAGAATACAGGCTGTGATAGCAACAATTATTTATTACCCCCAAATGGATAGAGCAATTGTTGCTTTAAAACAAGAAGAGTTTGATCTTTAACTTCAGAAATTACTGTTTATGGGGCAGGTATTCAGGGAACTTTGAGGAGGAAAAGAAGTTTTTCATTTGGTCTTCAGGTGTGCTTAGGAGGCCTTCAAAATGGTACAAATATGACCATGGTCAAAATATATATACTTAGATTTGGTACTTTTGCAAGGGCAGTTAAGAAAAATTGAAAGTATTGACAGCATCAAAGAATTTAGGATAAAAACAACAAAAAGGAAGCTTTCAATGTTTGTCTCTTTTTAAGAATACTATGTTAAAGCTCAGAATAAATACATAGGGAAGACTTTAAATGAATGAAGAAGATAATATAGAAGAGGCACCTGGAAGACATCCTTCAAAAATTGAACCTGCATGCTGATGAGGAAAGTTAGACATGATGTTAAGTGCTGGCAAGTTGAATATAGAACACTCATGAAGATGAAAAGGGTTTTGAGGAGAGTGTTTTGAAAAGCATAAAAACGAATACTACTTTCAGGCCCAGCACCAGTGAAAACCCCATGGGAGAAGATATGGCCTGTAGATGGCCAAGTGCAAAGAAGATACGGTTATAGCAGAAGAATCACAGTAAAAGTGACTTGTGTCTGCTAGAGTAGAGCAAAGAGAGGCTTTTAAAGGTGAGAATTGCTCTTTTAGGAGAGCCAAGCTGGAGGACATCTCCTACTGAAGTACTGTCCACAGAGGTGTTAAGACTGATAAAATAAGCAGTAAGAAATTGCTGGGATGTACAGTAACACCCAAGATTTCTACAGGAATGGGAGAGAGCCAGCTGAGTTAATAGCTATTAAGCTGTTGCTTAAAGCTGCCTCAATACCAGAGAAATGAAAGGCAGCAAACATGATGACAGGTCTTAAAAGAGTTTCCTGAGGGTCAGCGAGTCTGATTTTTCAGTTCTACTAAATGGTAGAAATGGCACTCAGGAGTGGGGAGCTGGTGGACCTATGAGCATATCTGGGGAAGAGTCAGCTTTTGTAAAGGAAATCGTATCTTGTGAAAAAATGAAAATTATTCAAGAAGTTACTGAATAACTGCATAAGTGGTAAGGTAACACCATATTTGGATTTATAAAAACTTTCAATAAAATCTTTTGTCAAAAGCTTTTAAAGAAAGTAAGTTGGTGGAGGAAAAGAAAGCAAGTCTGTTTCCCATCACATAGTCAATTCTTAATTACTAAAGGAATAAATCCATTTTCTTGGTGAGGAATTCTGGTTAAAGAGAATCATAAGTGATTTGAAGAAGCATTCCACATAACATTGGTTGGTGATACTTAGTTATTCAGGATAAAAAAAATTCTTTTCCTGCAGAGTGTTGAGGAAAAGTTTCACTATACTGAATGATAAAATAGATGTAATGGTAATAAATACAAAGTAGTACCTATGGGACAATTTGACATGTACAGTAATGGGCTCTAAATTTTACTGTTATGATTCAGTAAAAAGATAGTGGAGTTACTGTGGGTAACCTAGCTAATTTTGTAAAATAAAATTTAATAGGAAAGAAATAAAAAGAGGAAATACTGTGTTGCTGCCCATATCTTAAAAACTTTATAGGATTTGTGGTTTAAGTGAAATGAGATGGTACAGAAGATGTCAGGTTCAAAGCCAGGTTGGAATGGGCTCTGAGCAACCTAATCTAGATGTAGGTGTCCTTGCTTATGCAGGGGAGTTAAATCTACATGATCTTTAAGGTCCCTTCCAACCCAAACAATTCTATGATTCCATTAAAAAAAGGCTTCTGTTCAGGAGAATTAGGATTTAGCTAGGTTAGGATTTTGAGGGCTGGCAGGAAGACTCCTTCAGCAGGATGTAGTGGGAGCCTATGATATCACGGATGGCATGGAAGGAGCTAATGGGGAACATATGTTCACTCTTCCTTGTATTAGAAGAGCTACAGGGCAGCAGATGAAATTGCGAAGTAACAAGCTCAAAACAAACACACGGAAGTGTTTTTTTGCAACGCATCATCAAATTTGTGAAACTCGCTGCCTCAGAACATAGTGGATGGTAAATAGGTTCAGAAGAGAATAAGATAGATCAATGGAAGAAAAAGCTGTTGGCTCACTAAGTATGAAGAAGCTGACTTGAGTTTCTTAGAAGCAGAGACAATGTCCTGAGGATATGTTGTTTGTCATATACCTTGAGGGAGAGCAGTCCTGGAACTGTTTCCATAACTTCATAGTTAATATTTCTTAGAAAATCTTTAAGAACAGCTTACTTCTGAAGAAGCATTTTTCACGTATTTTTAAAAATCACAACCCATGAAACATTCCTTCACATTTTTTAGAGTTTCACCAGGGTCTGGTTTGAAATTTGCCAAAGTAATTAGAAGATTTATGATAATGTTTTTACATTGTTCCCAGTTTCTAGAGAGAAAATTATTTTTGCCTGAAAGGTGAAAATGGCATCTTATTTCAGTACTATTCAAAAAAGCAGGTAAAATAAGACTCTTCACCAGCTGTGATGAGCCTGTCCAGTAAACTGCAATTTCTTCAGTATACCAGACCACCCTGGTAGATTCAGGTACTTTCTTGTTGCTTAACAGAGTGTTAAAGTCAAACACCTTTTCTGTTTTCTTTCGGTAGTTATGGTGTGCTGCTTTGGGAGCTGCTAACAGGAGAAGTACCATTCCGAGGAATTGATGGTCTTGCAGTAGCATATGGTGTTGCGATGAATAAACTTGCTCTTCCAATCCCTTCCACCTGTCCAGAGCCTTTTGCCAAACTCATGGAAGGTAAGCCAGCTGTGGTGTGAGTATGGTTTGTGCTGTGTATAGAATGTTCCTGAGTATTGCCTCCTTGTGTTGGTTTTGACCAACTGAAGCACAGATTTCTCAAATGGCTTTATCCAGTGGTGCAAGTTGTATGAGAGCTAGGCTTGGCTTCTGGTGTTCTGTGAAAGTTGCTCTATCATAAGAGTAATAAGTGAAAGAAATGTCCCTGCCTTTTTTTTTTTTTTTTTTGATCAACTGGCTTTATAGGAAAATGGGGTTTATTGCTGTTATCATCTAGCTTGTTGTTTTCTGGTAGTGAAGACTCACCACCACCAAAACTTTGTGTATTTTGTTTTCCTTTGAAGTCTTCAACTTGTTTTGAAGTACATAGCTTGAGCATCTTGCTAGACAATGTCAGATTGATTTGGAATGAAACTTTTATCCTACTGACATTTCAGGGAGAGGATTTAAATACAGCTATGACACAACACAAATTTGAAAACACCCCAGTCAGAATGCTGTGATTTTCTGCTTTGTGTGTGGAGATAGGTCATTCCTAAGGTGGGCTACATATGAATGAAAGTAATACAGGAGTTCATTATCAGAGTTGCTGTAGTTATTAAAAAGGACTCTGTCAGGTAGCTTTTGGGATGCCCCCTATATGACCTGCTCTGCTGGCTTGTGCAACTACTTGAACATCTCCTGATCTTCCTTCCCCCTATCACAGTAGTACCTTGAGTGTTGTGGGTTTTTTTTAGTGCACCTGTTCCCAAAGATTTCCAGGTGTTTATATGTAATGAACATTTTTATACCTATCTGAAAGAAAGAAAAACTGAAGATAAATCAAACATGTTTTGTAGTCTTAATGATCAAAGAATAAGTCTGAACATAGAACTGATGTTCTGTTGCCTCTGGTGGAGTTTCTTGGCTTTTAGAATACTTTTACACTTCTCTGGGAGGTTTTTTGTTGTTTTTTTCCCTGTAAGTTACAGATTTAAGTTAAAACAGCAAATGTCATGTACTGTTGTGCTAAAAGAGCACTGTTGTGCTCTACTGGATAGTAAACAGCTGCAGAGTTGCAGGTATAGTAGCTTGGAAGCAATGTAAAGCAAGAAACTGCATCTGAAAGCGTTAATGGAGCTACTAGCTCAATGTTGTGCCAGAACAGTTTATTTCATCATGGCTCCCTAAAACAAAGACCCTGGATTGCTAAAATATAACTGAGGTATCTGCTGCCGAGGTTAAAAATAATGCCCTCTGTTGGGAAATTCAGGTAGAGGCACATGGCCTGAGCTTGAACCCAGCAGCACAGGGGTGAGCACCCACACAGCTTTGGAACGCTTGGCTTCTCCCAGTTCAGGGGGAGAAAAGAACAAGAAAACAATTACTTTCTGCCCCTTACCAAAACTGTTTTTCAGACAGGCTCTTTCCCGTCTTGGGTGAACTCTTGTTCCCCTAATGCTGCTTTTACTTTTCAATTGCTGCCCTGGTGGTCTTCACTGAGACAACAAAGCTGAACTTTCTCTCTTAACAGAAGAGTCTTGTATGTTACAACTGTCCTCATTAGTGCAAACAATGGCAGATCTAGGCCTGGGAAAATTAAAGCCACGGGCCACCTGCATAGTTATCCTGCTCACTCATTCATGCATTTGGCTGGCTGCAGCATTTTGTTTTACTTTGGGTCGTATTTGCTTTTGCCATGCTTAAAACCTGGGGTAAAGAGGCAGGGATTATGGCACTGGCAGTCCAGCTGTATTGCCTATTGCTACTAATTGGTCAGCAGCAGGGGACCTTCGGAGCACTCTAACATCCAACCATTCTCTGTTTTATTAAGAGAAGCAATTTGAAATCCATAAACACAAATGTCTTCAAGATTATGCCTCCTGGAACCTGCTTATATACCAGTATCTTGATACCATCAGTTTTGAAACCAAAGTGCCCAAATGTAAAATCTCAGTAATGCTAAAATAAAGAAAAGACTTACAAAACCAAGCCTCAGCAGTTGCACAGCTTTTCTGAAGTGTGATTTATTTTTAATTGCAGCTGCTCCTTGGTATATTTAAATCCATAAAACTGATGAAATAATGTCTTTTAGGACATCACCATATTTTTTTAAAGAATGTTCCCTTTTTTCCAACTGTAAAGTTTAAGAAACTTTAGAACATTTTTATAACTCTTGCCTCATGCTGCAGTAATGTGTGTCTTAAATGCAGTGATAATTTAGAGCAATGATAATACGAGCATATTGAGAGAGACCCATGTGTTAGTTTCTTCCATTCATGCAAAAGATCTATACCTTAGAAATATAATTGAATTGCAAGTTTTACTGTTTAGTTCTTTTCAAATTTTGGCATGCAATAGTCTAGCAGTACTAAATAGAATAAGGATACTTTTTGAACCTGTGTAAGTGCCATTATAGGACAATATAGACTGAGAAAGTGAAGTCTTTTACTGGAGTTGAGTAAAAAGTTAAGAGGGAGGACTGAGTAAACAAAAAATTCCTATTAAAAAATGTTCAGTCAAACATTTTGACTTAATGGCATTAAAAAAACCATGTTCTTAATGATTTCATAGCTTGAGATATTACTTCATACCACTTTCTATTTCCATTTCTGTTTTCAATGTTTGACTACCATCACTGTAAAAGGGAGTACCTTTTTGTACTATTGCTAGTTGAATTGCCTTGTGTGGTAAGATGGGTACCTTAAATTGTGTGTTTTTAGAGTTCAGTACTGAATAAGTCATTGCATTAGATTGTGAATGAAAAAGTTTTGAGTTTTTTTCTGTGGTTTCCCTTAAAAGCAAAGGAAAAAAGCCTGATCAGACAGATTTCTGAAATACTAAAAAAGAACACTTAAAATAAGAAAATTCCAAATGCACTATTTGGTGTAATTATTTACTCAAATCTCCTGTCTTCAGTCAAGTTATGCCCAGTCTGCTTTGTGGGATTGATTTTCAGCTCTATGAAAGAGATTCATAATGACTCAGCTTAGTATTAGAGTTTGGCATTAGAATGAACTCTGGATTCCCTTCTGCAGTATGGCTGTTAACTCTGAAGTGTAAGTGTGAGAAAATAACTGTTTACAAGAGTCTTGCACAGTATTTCCACTCTAGAGCACATACAACTTAAAATATTTAAGGAAATTATTTATGACTTTTTAATATATGCTCGAAAATGTGACTTTCTGTAAAATTAGTAAATCTGTTTTACTTGGCATATTATTGCAATGCAACCTAGAGACCAGGTGGTTCAACATCTTAAGCTATGTTGGATATTTATAAGCACAAAAGCCTGAATTCCATACTTGACTTACTATTGGACAATAGGCAACATGAGTGGGAAATGGGAACAAATGGGATAACACAGGTAGTGTGCATGCCACCCTTAGCCACTGGGGATCAGTAAAGTACTGCTCATCCTCTCAAACCTCCGTACTTGGATGCTTAACAGTTCTTATCTTTGTCCTATTCTAGATTGTTGGAATCCTGATCCACACTCCCGACCTTCCTTTGCCAGTATCCTAGGCCATCTCACTGCCATAGAAGAGTCTGGTTTCTTTGAAATGCCCAAAGATTCCTTCCACTCCTTGCAGGAAGACTGGAAACAAGAGATCCAAGAGATGTTTGATCAGCTCAGAGCCAAAGAAAAGGTAGGTAGGGAAAAACACTCCATTCTTGTGCTCTCTGGAGTATGATTTTCCTGTTTCATAGTTCAAACAGGGATCATAATTTAGTGCATTCCAGAATTAATTTTGTATGTGCTTGACTGGAGCTTGTAATAATTCCCCAAGTCAATGCCAGATTATGATGCACACAAGGGCAGAATTATGAGTAAAATACCTGCATCCTGAGCTTGCTACTCTTTCTGATATTGTAGTGAGCTTCCATTCTACACTCTGCAAACTGCTATGATGATTTGTCTCCATTGTTTAATGCATCTGATAATTGTTTCACTATTAGCGTCTTAATTGAGAAGCCCAACAATAACTGTTAACAGGAAAAGTAGGAGAGGTAGCTTCAGCCTATGTATTCTAGCAAACAATGCAGCATTCTTTCTGTTGGGTGTATATTTTACAGATTTTGACCACAGCCAAAGTGGATAGGCTATAATAAATATGAGTGCTACCGGGGGGAATGGTCCAATAACTGTTACAACTGAAGTTATCTGGGTAAATAGCAGGAAACAAAATGCTAGCAGGAATAAAAGGAATTGTGACCATCAGCTTAAAAGAGTAGAAGTGAAAATCTGAAGTTTTCTTCAAGCATGCTTGCAGAAAATGCAACTTACTGTATCTAAATACTGCAGGGGAATCACTGAAATAGTATTTATCTAATTTCATGGTCTGTTGTCTAAAAATGCATTTGTAGTAAACAACCGACTTGATTTGAGCTCAGAGATTGGGTTTAGGAGGCAGAAAGAAAATGAGACTGTGGTGCAGGGGATAAAAGTCCTACAATAATGCTTAAAACATTTCTATTAGTATATTATAGTAGCTTTTGGGAAAAATAAAATAACTAGTAGGCGTTGGCCTGCTGCTCTTGTCCCATGACATTTATGTGTTGAAACAGTTTTTGAAAACGAGAAACTTCAACAAAAAGAAGACAAAACAGCAGTAGCTAGACTGCCCTTAGGTTTTGAGTACTGTATTCCTTTGTAGCAATGGGGAAAGATAATTTTATATTTTGTTCAACCATGAGTAAAATGCACCAAATCACAGTAGAGATTAGACAGGTAACAATGTTATTTAGAACAATTCTAAAAAGCTAACCTAAAATCTGTCTGAAGTTTAGCCTGAATTCTTCAGTTTTTACTTTCTGCAGTGAAATTACCCAGCTGGAGATGATTATTCTGAGTGCAGAATTCTTTTCTCCTTGTGGTGACAGGAATTCAGTGAGAAGACATAGTGAGATCTCAAGGACAGTGTCAGTTGTCAAAACCGCTTTGTCAAAACAGGTTTTGTCAAAAAAAGGAAAGATGGAAAAGTTTGTTTTAGACATCTTTATGCCCAAAGGGCAGCCATGCCTGGTGGACTATGATGGGAATCACCTCTTGATAGTTTTCTTCATTTCTTCATTTGTTAGATTTATGGTTTTTGCTATTTTATGATGCATGAGATGGCGATGTTTTTAAACAGTTTTAAGCCAATACTGAAGTTAACATAGGTACTAACTGAACAGGAAGACAAGTATTAATTGCTTTCGGTTTTAAGAGGAAAGCTTCCAAAATGGGTTCACATATGCATGGTACTCTTTGGCTCTTATAGATGTGTTTATGTCAGATACTCAGCATGGTTTTCCACTGAATTTAGGATCCAGTGCCTTTTCACTGACTCACAGAATGGTTGAAGTTGAAGGAACCTCTGGAGGTCATATGGTCCAAACCACCTACTGAAGCAAGGTCACCTAGAACCAGTTGCCCACAGCTGTGTGCAGATGGCTTTTGAGTATCTCCAAGGAGGGAGACTCCACAGCCTCTCTGGGCAACCTGTGCCAATGCTCAGTAATGTCCACAGTAAAAAAGTGTTTAAAGGCAATTTCCTGTGCTACAGTGTATGTCTATTGCTTCCTGTCCTATCACCAAGCACTGCTGAAAAGAGCTTGGCTCTTATCTTCTTGGCACCTTTACTTCTGTTTGTTTTTTTTTAAAAACAGAGAAGATCCCTGTTCCCTCCACTCAAACCGTCTCTTCTCAAGGATAAACAGTCCCATCTCCCTCAGCTCTTCCTCACAGGAGAGGTGCTCCATTCTCTTAATCATCTCCTAGGACCTTTGTTGTTGTCTGTCTACTATGTCCTTGTCTGTCTTGGAGTGAAGAGCCCAGAAATGGTCACAGGATTCCAGGTGTGACCTTACAAGTGGCAATGACCAAATTTTAATACTAGTATGAAGGAACCTGAATGACAAGCACAGAAGTTCTTGAGGAGTGTTTTAGGTTTTTGGCTTTCAGCTGTGCCTTTAAACAGTGGCACTAGCAGTGCTGTGAGAACGATTCATTGCTTCTCTACTTTCAGAATGGGTAATGTTAGTCTTAACCCACAAGTCACAAAGTAGCTTTCAGTTTCTCCTTTCGTGTCCCTGCAGGAGCTGCGCACATGGGAAGAAGAGCTGACTCGTGCTGCTGTTGAACAGAAGAACCATGAGGAGTTGCTACGAAGGCGGGAGCAGGAACTCGCTGAACGTGAGATTGACATCCTGGAAAGGGAGCTCAACATCATCATCCATCAGCTGTGTCAGGAGAAGCCTCGGGTGAAGAAACGCATGGGGAAGTTCAAGAGAAGCCGGCTCAAGTTAAAAGATGGCAACCATATCAGCCTGCCTTCAGGTTGGTGATGTGTTAGGCTGTGTCAGGTGAAATAGGAGGAACAAATGAACCTGTAGCTTTGGTAGCTCCTTTCTACTGATACCTATGCATTAGAAAGTACTGGATGTAGTCTGGGAAAAAAAATGCCTCTTTGGGATCAAGAAGCTATATTTGATGCTCTTGTGGCTTGCATTCCCCAAAGTTCCAAGTATGAAGGCCAAAAGTAAATTTGAGATGTCACATGTTTGGTAGTCAATGACTGTGTATGGCTCATGGTAAACATGGTGATGTTGCAGTCTAATACTCAAAATGATCAGTTTAATAAAGGATATACATTAAAAATTATGGTGGTTCTTGCTCTGGAAATATTTTACATAATGCTGCAGCAGAACCCATAATCTACTGGACTTCTTGGTGCAGGAATCTAAAAACCATCAAAAATACATTGATAGCTGTGATATTAGAGCCCTACATTGCTAATATTCATATGTGAACTCATTTTAACAAGGGACCTCTACTACCACCCTTCTGGAAGAAATGCTAAATATTGGTGAGGTATCAGGGAAGTAACTCTTAAGAGTGAATGAGTGAATCACAAGAATAGTGACCAGAAGGTCAAGTGACGTGATGCTCCCTCTCTATTCTGCTCTCAAAAGACCCCACCTGGAGTACTGTGTCCAGTTCTGGAGACCCCAATGTAAGGAGGACATGGAGTTCCTGGAGAAAGTCCAGAGAAGGGCCACAAAGATGATTAGAGGGTACCTTTCCTATGAAGAGAGGCTGAGGGAGTAGGGTTTGTTCAGCCTGCAAAAGAGGCTCCAGGGAGACCTCATAGCAGCCTTCCAGTACCTGAGGGGGCCTACAGGAAAGATGGGGAGGGACTTTTTACAAGGGCTTGTAGTGATAGGACAAGAGGTAATGTCTTTAAACTGGAAGAGAGTTGATTTAGGTTAGACAGTAGGATGAAATTCTTTACTGTGAGAGTGCTGAGACACTGGCACAGGTTGCCCAGGGAAGCTGTGGATGCCCTCTCCCTGGAGATGTTCAAGTGCAGGTTGGATGAAGCTTTGAGCATTGTGATCTAGTGGGAAGTGTCCCTGTCCATAGCATGAGGGTTTGAACTAGGTGGTCTTTTAAGTCCCAACTCAGACCATTCTGTGTTTCTGTGATTCTGTGAATCCTTAGCTTTTCTGCTCAGAATTCTGTATGGAGATTCCAATTTGTAAAGGTGTGGATTTTGTAGATTGCCTGAGTCTCATGGCTGACACAAGGATGATGGCTTATACTACATTATTTTCTGAGAGAGACTGGCTGTTCAGAAGAGCAGTGATGCTAAAACGTACATGTTGACTATGCCTTGCTTTAGGTCTATAAACAGCTATTGCTGGTGGTTTTGCTTATCTTAAGAAACTGAGAGATAAGGTAAAAAGAATTAATACAGGGATATACTTTGGCATAAATGTCAGTCAACACATAAGAATCTATGTGTGTATGTATCTCACACATACAGTAAGAAGATCTGTTTTCGTGAGTGCGAGCCCACATCTTTATTCTGAAGTAGCTGCTGTATGATGGGGACAGCAATTAACTGTAAAATTTTGTTTCTACATGGATAATGTAACTTACGCTCTTTGAAAGTTACCATAAATTATTTATTTTTTCTTATATTAAAAAAATAATTTTAACTGTGTCTTTCTGCTTTTGATTTGATTTGTTTCTTCTTCTTTTGGTAAACAGATTTCCAGCATAAATTCACTGTGCAGGCTTCTCCAACGATGGATAAAAGGAAAAGCTTGATCAGTAGCTGCTCCAGCCCTCCTGCAAGTCCTACCATTATTCCCAGACTCAGGGCCATACAGTGTAAGGAGCTCAATATAGTATTGAATTTGGGAAATTTGCAGTCTGTCAGCGTGGTAAGATGCCTATATCTAGGACAGGACTGTAAAAAAATGTTCTAAAATATTTGGCTTGTGCCCTGCAGATATGCATTTAGTGAGACAAACTGAGTGTGTTGGTGATGGGGGCAGTGTCACCTTCTTTGGAGTCCAAACCTTACTTACAGAAGTTTGTAGAACTGTTGTTTGCTTTTGTAGAAAAGACATTCCTTAGTTGATAACATTAATTTTTTAAAATACTAATTTGCAGAGTAGATCTATGAAACATTATCAAAGTGGATAAAGTTACTGTTGGAAGGAGAGAAAAAAAGAGCACTTGTGATGAAAATAGTGTTCCCATAACAAAACAGAATTAGGCAGACATGCATGTATTAGAAGTGTGAAAAGGATGTTAATGTGTAGTACTTCTATTGGATATCATGATGCTGTGTGTCTGGTAGCAAACTGGTAGTTCTAACAGGGAAATCAGTGGTGGAATAAAGCTGTAAAGCCTGTCTATACTGATTTTGAAGGGATCTGGTTAGATCTGTGTTGATAAGTGGCTGGAACTGAAGGAAAGAAGCCTGAGTGGGTGTTCTCATTACTGTTTCTGTTCCACTCTTATGTTTTATTCTTTATGTTGCTCTGGAACCAATTCTTACCAATCTTTTTCTTTCTCATTTTCCACTTTTCTTCCCACTTGTGAAGTAACTCCTGCTGAAAAATGCTGAAAGCAGTAAAACGTGGGGACGAAGCTCAGTCCTTCCAAAGGAGGAAGGAGATGAAGAAGAGAAAAGAGGCCAGAAGAAAAAGGGACGTACTTGGGGACCAAGCTCACTTTGTCACAAGGAGCTAGGTGCAGGAGAAGATGGGTAAGGGAGGGCCTGGAACCAGATTACTTTCCAGATTCTAAAACTGGTTATGAGCTTGCTCACAGGAGATTTGCCTGTCCTCTTGCAAATGCTTTTCCAAACTTATTTGCTGTACCAGACATATTAGAGATTCAGATCAGATTACAAAAATACATTGCATTCAAACCCTTGCTAGAGATCCAGCAGTGAGCTGGTGCTTTCATAGTCCGCTGTTACCTTGTAATGTGCATTTGTAAGCAGAAGAACTTCTTTGCTTTGCAAAAAAGTTTTTCTCAAAGCTCCTCTTTATTTTCAGGTTCAACTTCCTGTAGTATCATATAATACCTGAAAATACTTCCCTTTTACAGTTGTCAGCTATGCTTTTTCTTGTCTTAAATGCTATTCAAAAAGTATGTGGTAGAGCCAGGCAAATAATCTTCTCTTCGAGCTTTTGCAAAGGACATGTATCTTCAGTGAATACATCTTGAAAGGGATTTTTGCAGAGATACAGGTTGTACCTCTATTTCTATAGATTCTTTTTTTTTAATGTGTATGAATTATTTATACTAGGACTCAAATGAATCATTGCTGAAATGCCGCTTTAAGCATAGGAGTATTTTGATCTAATGAAGTGTTTGAATGCCTTGTGATTTTTAGTGGAGTTTTGAAGCTTTTTCCTCTGATAAATTTAGTTTGACTCTTGCCATATTCTTTGCAGGGAAAATAAAATAACTGGTTATAATTTATCTTTAATATTATGTGTGCAGGTGTGAAATTCCTGAAAAACAGATGTTTCATAATTTATCACTATTGCAGTCCTCTGCAGGAGGGCCTGGAACTAAATATTCTATTGACATAAAAATACGTTCTCCTACAAAGATCCTCATGACATGTTAACAGGGCAAATGTGAAGGAAATTCTTCAGCTGCTTCCTATGCTTTACCTATTCTATAGATGAAGTATAACATTCCACAGAATTAAAACAGGTGTCACATTTTACAATCATTAATTATATTAAAGGGTGGGAGCTCACTAAAAGCACTTCTACCTTGAAATCATGTTCTTGGAAGTCTGGGAATAAAATTCTTCAGTTTTCTGTTCATTATTGTACAGTCTGAAGCACTGAACTGCTTTTGGGCACAGACAGCTGGAAAGGATCTGCTTGCTAGCCATAGTTGCTCTTGTAATTATCCTGTTCTCTCTACAACTTAGATGTTGTATTCACCTTTTCCAGGGAAACTCTACAACTATGGCATTTTGCGGAGTGTCTGAAATACAGTGATGTTGCTGAGAGGGCAGTATGGTTAACATACAATGAATTACTGCTTTTTGCTGCAATCATGCCACACTGCAGCCTTATTTAAAGGAGCAGAGTTGCAGCAAACATCAGGGACTCTTTTTAATAATTTTTAATTCTGCCCATATTGTAAGAGCTTTGACATTTACTTCTGGAGGTGATCACGCTGCTAACATGGTTCGTTTTCACTTACCAGCTTTCCCTTAATATACTGCTCTTTTTATAGTATTTATTCTAACTATGCATGTTGTACACATGGATAATTTAGATATAACCTATATTACCTGGTGGATTGTGTTACATAGCTGAGTATAAGGATGGAGGGAGTAAATCAGGACAGAGACCCACGCGCTGATTTACATCTCTATTGTAAAACCCTCTGGTTGTCTGCCTTGACAAGTAGTATTCAGCACTGTGCTCTCAAAGAGTCAAGTTCATAGCAGGGTACTGCATTTGCCAGAATGGTTAATGAGGGGAAAAAATGAACTCTCAAGACAGCTGAGAACTGTCTTGGATGCTTTGAGTGTTATGTCTGTAGCGTGTGTGATCATCAACCAACTGAACATGTGCTGAATCAAGGTCAGACGTTGTGACCTTGCTATAGCAATGTAGTTTGGTGACAAATAGAGCCTGCCAGTTAGATAGAGAATAGAGCGAAAACACCTACCAAGAAACCCCCCGATATAATACAGCTTTAAGTTTTGAAATCTGGTAATGGAAGCCTTCCTAGAAATGGAGAATAATTCTGGTGGAAAACGGGAATGATGACAGTTCATTAGAATCCTTCCCTTACAGAGTAGGAATGATAGGACCTTACGTAAGTTGTGTGTCTTTGATCAAAGAACCGTGCAAATTACTAATGGAGCTGGAAAAGGTCTCCCCTCTTAAGTTTTCTTTCAATAACAAGTAGATGCTCTTGTTTGTCCAGTTGAGATCTTTCAACTATCACAGATATTTTTCCTCCTTCTATTCAATTTCTGACTATCACAAGTGCCTATTAGCTTTTCACCAAAACTGCCTGTGTTTTGTGTTGGAGTTTGGAGAAAGGCACCACAAATCTCCCAGTTCAGACAATATTGATAACTAAAAAGAAAACTTTGCTGAGTGTTGATATGTTGGAAAATTATGCCAGTTACTAAAGCTGTTTCTGATGTCATGAAAGTACTGCAGGGAACAAACAGGATGATGGTGATGAATACCTGTGAATAGGGAAAACAATAATAATTAGCTCATGTGCCAAGTGACATACCTTTAAGTGAAGGTCACGTCAAGGTAGGGATTTGTTTTTGGGTTTTTCACTTCTGTTGTTTGGGGATTTTTAGTCTGTAACTAAAATAAACAGTGATGTGAATTATTATTTTAGTTACTTATTTTTCCATAATCTAGAACTTAGACTTTTAACTGTCTGTATTTCAGTGCAGTGTTTTCTGTACAGGAGAGATATCAGGGCTTATAATACAGAGGCATAACTTTGCCACTACAATGACTTTAGCATATTACTGTCCCAGTGAGTGATCTTTGGCTTTCATTGCTTATTTGTATTTCACACAGAAATGTTTTTTGAGATATTTTCCCCTCCTCTTGCTGAACGCTTTATTTTTTACATGCCATGGTAGGTTTGCCTTTGTTTAAAAAGTAAATGTTTCATCTGTTTTTTTATGTAGTGTTTTCTCTTATGCTGCATTTCTAGCTGTTGGTTATCAGCAGCGGTCTTTTGACTGCAGTGATCTAACAAATGAGGGAGGAACTTTTTTACTGTTTTTTAATATTAAGGTGCTGTAAAGATGTTGCAAAATGTCTTTCTATGGGAGAACTTAATATCTATGTAACTACGATAGATACGTGCATACCCTAAGTAGAGCAATAGACAATTAAGAAAGGGAGAATGAAACTTGATTGTGAGCATGGTACATTTTCTCCCATTTTTCTACTGTTTCAGTCTGAAAGCTCTGGTAGAAGGATACAAACAATGGTCATCCAGCGCACCAAACCTTGGGAAGATCCAGAGAACTGCACCTGCTTTTCCAGGATTCACCAGCTTAGCAGAGATGGGTAAAGGAATTCCCTGGACTTTATATTTCATTCCCACTTCAATTCACATTTGAATGAAGCTCTCCTTTCCTGAGCTTCACCTGGTACCTTATAGCAATGTTGTCATTTTGGTGGGTTTTTTTTCCTTTTATTTTTGTGAAGTAACTACTTCCTAATCTTGGCTTTCTTTTTGCTCGCATACCTGCTTGTGTTTCGATCTGTCATGCTAACAAGCTTCTCTTAATCCCCCTCTAGCTCCATGCTATCTCTTAACTCCTTTTCTGTTATCGATATTCATACATGCAGCATGGTTACACCTTCACTTGTGAGGAGAGGAGCACCTTCACTTGAGGAGGTACAAGTCCGTACATCAGTATAGGTTAGGGGTTGACCTGCTGAAAAGCAGAAAGCACTGAGAAGGATCTTGGAGTCCTGGTTGGCAGTAAGTTAACTGTGAGCCAGCAATGTGCCCTTGTGGCTAGGAGGGCCAGTGGTATTCTGGGATGCATTAGGAAGAGTGTGGCCAGTATGTCAAGGGAGGATATCCTCCCCCGCTATTCTGCTATGGTGAGGTCACATCTGAAATACTCTGTCCAGTTCTGGGCTCCCCAGTTCAAGAGAGACAAGGAACTACTAGAGAGAGTCCAGTGGAGGGCAACAAAGATTATTGGGGAATTGGAGCATCTCCGTTATGAGGAAAGGTTGAGAAAGCTGGGACTGTTTAGCCTGGAGAGGAGACCTTACCAAAGTCTATAAATATCTAAAGGGTGGATGTAACAAAGATGGAGCCAGACTCTTGTCAGTAGTGCCCAGTGACAGGACAAGCGGCAAAGGGCCCAAGCTGCAACACAGGAAGTTTCATCTGAACATGAGGAAAAACTTCTTTATGGTGAGGATGACAGAGCACTGGAACAGGCTGCCCATGGAAGTTGTGGAGTCCCCTTCTCTGGAGATATTCCAGACCCTCCTGGATGCAGTCCTGTGTGGTGTGCTCGAGGTGATCCTGCTTTAGCCGGGGGCGAGGTGGACTAGATGATCTCTAGAGGTCCCTTCCAGCTCTGACAGTTCTGTGATTCTCTGAGAGATCCTTATTTTGCTATCTTTTGCTCCTCACTCCCAAACATAAGTATTTACTCTAGACCTAACTGAGGTGAAGATTGCTACTGAAAAGCTGTTCTGCAATTGATCCCAAACAGATGAACACGTCTCTTGAATTTCTTCCAGTTTGATAGTGTTTTCAGTTTCTTGTTTTGGCATATCTGCTCAGAGACAATAGCCTGTGAATATTTTGCAATTGATGAACGATGCTTGCAATGAGAAGGACAATTGCATCTTCTGAGGAGAAGCTTAATTTTCATGTATATTTGTAGGACAGTGAAATTTGCCAGTGCAGATGTGGCATCCATGCGGTCTGTTTTCATTTGCTTTCCAGATGATGAAGACAGTGAATGTCTTAATGGAGAGGGAAAAGTGCACCCTTCACCTGGGCACAATCAGTCATACCTCTGCATCCCATTTCAGAAGAATGAAGACTGGGATGGCCCTTCTAGTGATGCTAATGAGGAGGCCACCCCTGTGAACTCTGCTACTAGTACCCCACAGCTGACACCCACCAACAGCCTCAAACGTAGCGGCTCCCACCACAAGCGATGTGAGGTTGCATTGCTTGGCTGTGGAGCTGTGCTGGCTGCTGCAGGCCTGGGTTTTGATCTGTTAGAAGCAGGAAAGTGTCAACTGCTGATCGAGGAGGAGCCAGAGGCACCCAAGGAGGAGAAGAAGAAGCGTGACAGTATTTTCCAGCGAGCAGGACGCCCACGCAGGAGCACTAGTCCACCCTCCCGAAAGATCTTCAAGAAAGAGGATCCCATGTTGTTGCTAGGAGAGCCATCCACATCCCTCACCCTTCTTTCCCTGTCTTCCATTTCCGAATGTAATTCCACCCGGTCGCTGCTGCGTTCAGACAGTGATGAGATTGTGGTGTATGAAATGCCTGTCAGCCCAGTAACAGTCAAGGCTCCCTTGCCAGCCATTACGAACCCACTAGTCAATGTCCAGATTGAGAGGTTCAAACAAGACCCCAACCAGTCCCTGACTCCCACGCATGTAACGGTCTCTTCTCACACCCAGCAAAGTGGGCATAGGCGCACACCTTCTGATGGGGCCATCAAAGGAAGTGGACTAGTTGTCAATGGGTGCCCAACCAGCGGATGCCCTTCCAGTAGCTGTTTAACTGGAGCACTAGGAGCAGGTGGGTTTTCAGCTATCTTCCTTTTTCTTTTCAGAATAAAGACCCAAACAGTGTAATTACTTTTTAGGAAGTAAATGTGTCACTTATGCAGGATCCATTGTGATGGCCAGCCCACGAGAAGAGCTTATGGATGCTGTCTCTACACAAATAATGAAACAGTAATGGCTTCTGTTCCAGTATCTCTGTGCTAAGGAACTCTCTCCTCCCCTGTGCTGTGAGGCAGAGCATAGCATTGTTTGTTAGACAAAGATGGTACCAAAGTACAAATATTGCAAATATTTAGCAGTTCCTGGGGTTCCATCTCCATTGACTTTACACACTTGTATTTACTGCTGTTACATTTTCAAGGTAAAATTTGATCTTTAAGGTAGAGAAAATTGGATCTCTGAAACAGTTTGGGGCTGTGCCACTGTTGCTCTTACTCCTTTGCAAGCAAGACTGATCTTCCTGGCTAGGCAGTGTTCTTACTGTTGCAGTCTTTAGGATTGACTGTGACTTGATAACTAATAAACTGTTTTCCTGTTTTCTTGCCCTAGTAATTCAGGGGGAAAAAAAGGACCAGAATACTAAATTCTGATTTAATTACAGTTTTCCCAATGGTAAAGCAAGATGTGAGGTTGTCTGTTGAATGGCAGTCTGAAATAGAAATGTGGGTTAATGCAGCTGAGAATACTCATTAAAGTGGTATTAATAAAAATATAAAAGCTATGTAGTTTTTATAAAAAATAAAAATCGCAAACATAATTCCCCATTCTACACCCAAAAGAAAACAAACCCGCAAAAACATCCATAGTGGTTGGTGTTAAATGTCTTGTTCCAGAAAGTTGGTCCTGCTTGTTGCAAACTGGTGTCACATTCTGCTGTGCAAGTGTCTCCCTGATCCATGCAAGCTGTTAATGGGTAATGTGCCCTCTGAAGGATTTGGAGAGTCCTCACTTCTGGTGGGAGGTCAAATCTCTGCTCTCCAGTCTGAAAGCAGAAGAAAGCAAATGAGCAAATCAACAGAACTTTCTGCCTGTCAGTGAAACAAGTGCCTTGCATTGTGTTGAGAACAGTGCAGAGATAAAGAAGCCGGTTATTCCCTTGAGACTGGTGAAATCTTGAAGATACATATAGAGTTCATAGATTTTGAATGGAGGCTTTCTGCTTTCAAAATGCTTTTAGAGTGTAAATACAATAAACTAAGATCTGTTGTTTCCCTTCTTCTCTTGCATTCCCTGTTTTTGATAGGTGTACTAAAAACACCTAGTCCAAGTAGAGATCCCAATGAGGTCCCTCGCCTGCCAGACCCCAACCTTGTTTATCCTCCAACCCCAAGACGATGGAATGCTCAGCAGGACCCCACACTGGAAAGACCCAAGACATTGGAGTTCCTGCCACGGCCACGTCCTGCAGCCAGTCGGCAGCGACTTGATCCCTGGTGGTTTGTGTCACCCAGCAATGCCAAGGGTGAATCTTCTGCAAACAGTTCAAGTACTGATACTCCAAGCAATCTGGACTCCTGTTTTGCTAGTAGCAGCAGCACTGTAGAAGAGAGACCTGGACTGCCTGCACTGCTTCCTTTCCAGGTGGGTCTTCCTGTAGAGGAGCGGACACTGTTGGACATAGACGCTGAGGGGCAGAGCCAGGACAGCACCATTCCGCTATGCAGAAGTGAACTTAACACACACAAAGCTGCAGCATATGAACTCAAGCAAGAATTCTGGTCTTAGTATGAAATCTACTGGGGACACTGAGCCCCTCTAAATTCAATTCTACTTTTTGCACTGAGAATGCACTTTGAAGACAGATGAGATGGAGGGATGCTACAGAGATCATATGGTGCTGCCTCTGCTGGAGATACGTTGTTCAACTGCCTGATTTCTGTCTGCGGTTGAATGTAACTTGGCAACTCAGAGCTGCTGACTTTTTCTGTCGAGTTTTTCTGTAGTCTTCCCTGCCCTGTTATTGCAGTTTGAATCTGCAGTCAGCTAAAATTATCATATAAAAGATCTTGTTACTGACCTTGTAGGATTTGGCACTTGCAGTAAGTATATTGGTATCTATCCTGGTGTTAATCAGTAGTTTCAAAACTCAAATATTGCACTACAGAAAACATAAGTGTTTGAGGCTTTCCCAAGGAATCCAGCACAGAAACAAGTAAATATCTGGAGACTGAATTCTCTGAAATGTGTTCAGATCATTAAATAGGCCTGGGAATCATGATACCCCCACTGAAGAAGCAGAAGTAGCTTAGACTCTTGTCCACTTTTGCTCGTATAATAGTGCAAGATGGAACAGATTGCAGAGGAAGGGCATGGCATCTCCACTGATGGAGGTCTTTGAGAACAGACTAACCAGACTGTTATGACAAGTAGGTGTAGTTGATCCTGGCTTCAAGGCAGCTTGGATGGACTTCAGTTTCTTAAGGTCCCTCTCAGCCCTGTTTTTCTTTGACCCTGTGCTTTCAAAAAGATGAAGGCTTATGGTAGGTCAGTTTACTCTAGCTTGCTTTTTTGTTTCAAACTTTGATTCCATCAGCCTTGTTTTCCCACCCCCTGTATCCCAGGCTTATAGTCAAGCTGCCAAAGCTTTGGAAAGGGGATTAGCAGGAACTCTTTCTTTAAAGCTGTGTTGGCTTGCAGAAGTTACATATCCCTCCCTCTCTTTTTTTTCTTCCTGTTTTTCCTCTTTTCTTACACTTTCTTAGGAGTGGCTGTTGAAACCCAAGACTGTTCTTACATGCACTGATACTTGTTTAAGGCTCTTTTGAAACTGAGGCTTGTGTTGTTAGTAGCTGGATAGTGCAAACAGGAATCAGAACCTCTGGATTCTGTTTTATGCTATCACTGACTCACTGTGTGACCCTGGGCAAATAATGTAACCTCTGTGCCTGAATTTTGCCATCTGTAAATAACAGGGATAATACCTACCTCACAGGGGGAGGGGTTGGAATGTGTATTAGGTGTAAAGTCCTTTGAGATCTTTGAGTGAAAGGCACTATAGACATGTAGAATATTACTCCTGTTCAAATATGTAAAAACTCCTAACTGGAGCAAGAACAGACCCCTGTTTTGAAGGAGGAAGTGACACAAACAAGGTGTGCCTATGCTCACAGTTTTCTGTACAGAGGCTGCAAGTGTGTCTGTGCCTCTGCAGGATTATCTTACTGGCTCTAAGGAGAGTTTTACTCTTCCCCAGTTTTGGCATTATAAATAAAGGATGTGGCCTTTATATGAGTATAATAGGGTAGTCTGCTTTAATGCAGGGTACAGCATATCTGTTCACTCTTTTTGTACAGACCTGTTCTCATTTTGATAGTCTGCTGACCATTGTAGCTAATTTGGCAGTGCTGCTGATGCAGTGCTCAGCTTTTCAGGGCAGACCAGTCCTGTTGTGAAGGCAGTGTAGCTGAGTACTTTCTCGGAGCTGTCAGCACAGAAAACCTGTGTGTTTAGGTTTGTAACATGATGATAAAAACCAGAACATGTGGGTAAGGACTGTACTTAGGGCTTTTTCATTCTGTTTGAGGGCTAAAACCAGCATGTTGCCAGTAGTCAAGTGCACCATTTTTTTCAAGCAATCACAGTATGTTTTTGTGTAGGAAGATGACACATTTCCTGTTTATCACATTCCATTAAACCCGTTTAAAGGCAGAATTACTTTTTGCTCCCTTCCCCACTAAAAGCTCCAGAGCCAGCCTTAATGATGCTGCACTAGCTGCTGAAGCTGGATAGACTGTTGACTGCACAGGAAAGGTATTCTGATGATTCTGATTAAAGCTAGCTGCTTTAAAAAGAAAACTTATATTTCTGACACATTAATTGTAGATCTTTAACATTATTAAGCTTATGTCCTTTTGCTTTATGTTTCTGGAAACTCCTTTTATGATGCAGATAACAAAAAACAGGCAAAACCTGTCCAAACAGGTTAATTTTGATCATTCTATAGAAATAAACTCCAGGGCCAGTTAGAGGCTGTGTTGAGGGACCTAAAAGCAGGAGACTAGAAGTATCTATTTTTGTTAGCCTCCCTTACCATTTAAAAAAAAGTCTGAAACAAAACTGGATCAGCTGTTCTGAAATACAGTGTTTTCTGTCCAAAACTTATAATTACAAATGTCGTTGGAACTATTGTCTTTTCTGCAAAGATATCACCTGGAATAGCTCAATTTGAAAAAAATCTTTGAAGTTAATTAAATTGCATGGAATGGGAGATTACCTGTCTAGATCAAATTGTTTTAACTCAGCCCACTAAACTTTCTGATATTTGGCCAGTTGCTCCTTTTACAAGGAGTCAAGGATCCAGATCAGGGTTTCCAAACTAGATATTCTGTTTCCAACTTAGGTATTCTCTATTACATAGCTGCCAGAAAAACTAGGTAGAAGCATAATGTTTGGCATATTTTATTTTTTTTAAAAACACTTCTTGGATGCAATTATCTTCATTGAACTGCACATGTGAAATAAAATGAGGTAGCCTTTGAGTATCAACTTCCAGGTGAGAGCCGTGTGACTAACCATGAGGGATCAGGTAAGAGGAGTCAGTTGTAGAAACAAAGCTATTTGCTTTAACAGATGGTGGAGTATTCTCTGACAGGCAGAGGGGGCTCTCAAGGCAGAGTTGTCAGGTGTTTTACCTTATGTATACCAAAAACGGCTGGAAGTGGTGCCCTGAGGCCCAGGGGCTTTGTGTGTTTAAGCTAGCTCTTAACCTCTCCCTATATCCATTTATCCCATTCTGACTTGATTTCCTTCCTTTCTTAATCTGTTGGGTTATTTCCTTCCCAGCTGTGGGAGCTGAGGTGCTCCAAATTTCCAAAGGAGTTCTTCACCGTAGTCAACTAGATACTGAGAAGATACAAGCCCCATCAGCTCACAGATTTATTTATTTTTTTCCTACTGGCTATCACTATTCCCATTTCTCAGGGAGACAAAAGTTACAGAATATTTTTGACATACCTTTTTAGCAGTGTTCTTGAGAAGGACGGTGGAAATCTTGCTATAAAAAATTTCTAATAAATGCCTTGCTTCCTAAATAGCTGGAAAAGTTGCACTTTTTCTTTTTTCTTAGAAAAGAAAAAGATAACATGAGAGCACAAAATCACTGAGCAGTCTAAAACATAATGGCAAAAGAATGGGGTAAAATGTGTTAAGGCCCCTGAAGTGGAAGTGACAAATTTTGAAACTGATAGTAGTAAGGTTGTTGCTGAGAGAAATATTTCTGGTCTGGACATTATATATATTCTTTTACAAAGCTGGTTGGCAGTATGTATTGGCAGATGTATCACTAATTTATGTAACTTGATGTGCTGATCAGATAGAAAAAAACAAAATTGCCAGCCCTTCAGAATATTCTTTCTGTTCTTGTAGCCTGTAAAACTGGGGGGAAAGCACAGGCACAGCAACCAGTGTAAAAATGACAACATCTGGTATAAACTTCTACTGGTTTCACAGAAACTAGGTGTGGAACAGATAGGCTAAAATCTTGTGTCAAAATATTTAAGATTTTTTTTCTAATACTGTTGCTTCCTATGGACTGCACAGTGGTTTTACGAGCAAGTAGGTCTTACCTCCTTTCAGTCCTTTTCAGAGGTGCAAATGTAACTTTTAGTAAGTTTGTTGTTTTTTTTTCCCTTCAGAATATTATTGCACTGGGTTGATACTCAGTATGGGGCAGGGAACCTCAGTGAAAATACTCTCTTTGTAATGGTTTCCTAACAAAATGAGAGTTTTTCAAAGTGAAAACTTCATGATTGGTGTGGAAAGACCTGTTCTGGTTTGGCATGCTTTTATGATAAAATATTTTTCTGTACCTCTAGGAATGGGAGTATTTGCCTTCCTCTTCATAGCATGCTGTTGTCTTAAGAATTTATGGACAATACTGCATAGAGATGTTACTTCGATTTGTCAGGAAACTGGATACATCTCATTCTGTTGAAGGTGAGGAAGTAATGGTCAAATAAAGAAAGTTCTTCACCATTTGGAGTATTCTGTTAAATTAAAAATGACAGGAAACCTCCCATCTTGAGACACCTTTCTATTTTGAGTTTAACTTTCATTTGAAACTTAATTCATCTCTGTAGGATGAATATGAGAGCTGGAGTTCCATAAGATGTATGGTACCAAACCTGATACTGTATCCCAAAATTCAATGATTGCTTGGTACTCTGTAGTAATTTTAAGCTAATCATATTGGGTTTGTTTCTTTTGAGATTTTGAAATTTTCTTCTTGGAAAAAGTGCTTATTGCTTTCTAACCTTTTCCATGCATTTTTGGAAATACTCTCAAGAACACCAACTCTGTGGCAAATAAGGAGGCTTATATCTTACATGGTGATACAGGTCCTCCTTTTGACTTCACTTTTTTCAATATGAAGCAAGAATGCCTATATTTGCACATTAAGATTTCTGATCCTTATCCTGTTGCTGCAGAACAGTTTCTTAGCTTAATTATTTACAACTCACTTAAGGCTATAATTCAGCTAAAAATGGACATTAAGATTGAAGAGGGAGGCACGTGTTAGAACGTATTTCTCAGCAAGCAATAAATATAGCATATATGTGCAAAGAGAACCAAAACATACTCATGCTGTCACAGAGGGTAACTTTCAGACTTAATAAACCTTTAGTTGATCATGCAGTTAAGATACCTTTAGTATAGAATGCCTTTCTGTGTTTTTGTTTAAAGTTTCCTATTGTAGGTTTAGAATACGATGATTTGTACAGCTGGTT